AGATAAGGAGCCTATGGAATTTCTCAGCACAAAATCCCATGAGTCTTACCAAGTTAACATGATGGATGCTACCAATAGTCTCAACTTCAGCTAGAAAGGATTTCTTAACCTGCCCAAAACCATCAAGGCGCTTTACAGCAACTTTTGTGCCGTCAATTAGAGTACCCTCAAAAACAGAACCAAAACCACCTTCGCCAAGCTTTTTACTGAAGTTGTCTGTAATGGCTTTCAAATCATCGTACGTGAATCTTGTGGGCATTCCGGGTACTTGATCAAGGTAATCCTCCTCTGCTTCATTATCATCTCTCTTCCAAACAAACAAAACTATGACTACGATGAGAAACATCACAGCAAAGAGAACTCCGAGGCTGGACCCAAGTATTATAGGGATACGGTTGTTCCTTTGGTTGCCAACGGAAGTATTGGGAGCTTCATTTTGTACTTTAAGGTAAGCAGTGGAGTTATAGAAAATGTTATTCTTGTCAATGTTTACAAGTGAGAACACCTGAGTTGGTAAGTAACAACTGCCGTTGGTGGGATTCGATCCATATTGGAATATAGCCGCTTTGCATGAGCAGTTCTTTGCGCAGGTCTCTTTACAAATTGAAGCATCTATGTTCTCAAGATCTGAAGTGAAAGTAAAGTATGTGACATTTCCAAGCTCCAGAAAACTTTGATATTGAGGAGCCCCACAAGACAATGGGACATTCTCAGAACACCCAAGATTAGGCTGCCTATCATCTACTGGCTTGAAATAGCTCGTTCCCCCACTTGAAGCCGGACAACTACATTGCCCATTGGAGCAAATTCCATATTGCCCGCACGCTGTCGGATAATCACAGTACTTAAGACCCCCCGTCAAAAGATCCGCCACTTCTTTCCACCCAGATACCCACTCATACACTCTCAGATGCCCATCCGAGCCCAGCTTCATATATTGTGCAGAAGATGCTTCAGGGACTGAAATCACTGTCTCATTCGTGGTAGAATTTGAGAACAAAGTCAAGCTTCCATTTAGAAACTCAACATATGGATACTCATTACTTGCCTGCGGATTAGCAATTTGATACTGGTAATAGATCTGAGGAGGACTAGTCTCCATTTGAGCAAATAAACCAGTGCTATTCATGGAAAGCGTAATCATATTGTTTACGGTCCAATTTGTCTCGGAAACACTCGGCATCAATCTTTGCCCAGCCATCAACTTTTGTCCTGGGACAAGTGAGTCTGTTGGCTGATCAAAAGACCGCCAAATAGGCACGTTATTCTTATCAAACAACTCAAGGTTCCCCAAATCTGTCAAGTTCAAGCCTACAACGGACTTACCGGAAGTGTTTGTGGACCAAGCAACAGTACCATCAGGATCTTTCAACACCAAATCGCCTTTGGATGTGAGCTCTAATGTCGCGCCAATCTTTACAGGATTGTTTCGATTGGCAGACCACACTACTCGTGGAAATCCAGAACTGCGTTGAATAATTGCACCACCCGTTGCACCACTCGTAGCTTGGACGATGAAAACAGCAAGGAGGTAAGTGTTGCAAGTACCATTACAGTAGAAGCCGCAGGCGTAGATAGGGCCATAAGCAGGTGTGTCTGGGTTTCGAGGGTCATAAGCATCTGAGCCTCGGATTAGGATTGACCGCACGATCGATCCTTCCATATATTGAACGGAGTCATCAGCTGTTGCGTTATTGGTCCACAGTGTTGAAAGCGTGGCAGTTGGATAACCATAATCTTGAGCTTGAGCATCAATAAAGTTTGAGAATTGCGATAGAAAAACAAAGGAAAAAGAAAGAAGAAAAGAACATAGACTGCAGAACGAGACCATGGCCAGCAGTATAAATTTAAGCAGAGAGAAGATTGAGAATGGAAGAGAGGAGGCGAGAAATGAGCGATGGAAGTGGAGGGCTGAGGGTCTCTAGAAACAGTCGCCTAAGGTTAGCAAGGGACACCGAATTGATAGAGCTGGCTGCCCATGTAGTTGAAAGGTTTGCCGTTGGCTGAGGCAGGACCAAACCCGGAAAATACAATAGGAGCAAAAGACAAAGGGTAGCCGGAGAGGACCTGCGGTGTGTGAACATGATAGGACATGAAAAAGAAAATACTCAAGATAGCTATTGCAGTGCTGAGAAAGGCAAACGGGATGAGAAAGATGAAATTGAATTTGACATGGAAAGGGACCCGAGAAAGATTAGGAACTACACGACCCGAGAAACTTGGGGTAATATCTGGGTCCCGGCTTCTTTTTCATTCAGTGGATGCAACCATATTTGTTGTAATAATCAACCTAGTTTTTCTTCCTATGTAAAGTTTGACGAAGCGATTGAAAGATTGCGTAAGTTTCGCGCCATCGGAAAGAGCACAACACAAGTTTAAGCGTGGAACGATGACCAAATCAAAGTCTCCTTCAGCAGTCCTAAAAATTGACTACCCCTTGCATCGTTTTTACTGCATTGGGTATTTGTCTCCTCGATCTTTTTTTTAAAATGGAAGATAAAACTAGCCTCTTATTTTTGTCAAGATTGATTTGATCTCCTTTGGGCTTTAGCAGACTGTACATCAGATAGACAACTGCCGATTAGTTACTCTATAGTTTAAGCTCACTCAAGTTAGATCTCGCAACAACATGCATATCTAATTCTAAGAAACCTTACGCCAAAAAAGAGAGAGAAAAGAAGCAGCTCAACTACCTATCCAAGTGATTGCATACAAATCTAAGAAAGACATCGTATCATTTCTACTGTTAGCAGAGTCGAATAGTAAATAGATGAAATTTCTTTACTGGACTATTTATTATGAATTTATATCGTAGCACGGAGTGAGGAATTGTCTTTCTACTACCTATCAAAAGATTATGCTGGAGATGTCAACATTGATTTGAAGAAAATAGTCCAAAAGATAGACATGATTCCTCCAAATCAAATACTATGTTGATTAAAGATGTGGAAAAGTCAAGGTTTTTGAGAATGATTAGTGTCATAAAAAAATCACATAGTTGAATCTTGCATGCCCAATCATATAAGTTCTTTGTTAAAATATATCTCGAATTTGAGAAGCACGCTTCAAATGCTCATTAAATCTTCGGCGTATCGGAAGCGTGGTGGAGCCGAAGTATTTGTTTATTTCTCTTGATGCGTTAAAGAATGCATGTGATGGCCATCTTCGTGGATGAATGGAGGAAAGTGGACGGCGGCCCACTTTGCATTAAATGTGTTCCCTTCTTCTTTGACAAAGGCCGTGTGAATGTGCAGGAAGAGAGAAGAAAATGAGCAGCTTCTTTCACTTTGTTCTCTTAGGGTCTGTTTAGTAACGTTTCTGTTTCTTTATTTTTTTGTTCTTTTGTTCCCCGGAACAGAAAAATAACAGAAATCCGTTTAGTAAAAAAAATCTATTTTTTCTATTTCTGTTCCAAAAAAGTGTTCCAGAAATAGATTTGGAACAGAAACAAGAAGCAAAAAAAATCTGCTTCTTGTTTCTGGAACAAGAAAAAAGAAACGATTTTTTTTCTAGAATTCTCTAAAAATAAGAAACAATCCATCAGCCGCAATCCGCCCACCGCCGCCTCTCACCGTCCTTCGCCGCCACCTACCCCCCGCCTTCTGCCGCCGCCGCCCGCCGGTCGCCTCCCGCCCGCTGGCCGCCTCTTGTCGTCAACCATCGTTCTCCACCGCTCGACGCTTGTCGCCACCCGCCACCGACCGCCGTCCCTCCACCGCTAGCCGCCATGCTCCATCGCCCGACGCTGCCCGCCACCCTGGCTGGCCGGGCCGCCCTCCCCGCCTAACCACCCGACGCCGGCGATCACCCACCACCGGTCGCCGTCCTTGGCCGCCGCTGGCCACCCATCGCCGGCCGCCATCCTCCGTCGCCAGCCATTGTGCTCCACCGCCCGACGCCGGCCACCACCCGGCGCTGGCTGCCCTCGGCCGCCGGCCACCTCTTACCTCTGGCCACCCGACGCCGGTGGTCACCCACCATCGGCCGCCATCCTTCACCAACGACTGCCGTGCTCCATCGACCGACGATGCCCACCCTCCGCTGCCAGCCACCTCCCACCGCCGCCCCCCACTGCCGTCACCACCGCCTGACGCCACCGTGCTCCACCGCTGACCGCCGTGCTCCACTACCTCCCACCGCCGACCGCCATCCTCTGCCGCCGCCGACCACCGTCCTCCGCCCCCCACCGCCCCCCACCACCACCCGCCGTCCTCCGCCGGTAGTTTATAAGGGAGAAACTCGTCCATGGAATAGAAATGGATCATTCGCACCTAAACGCGTTTCTATTCTTTTTCTATTCCAGGAATAGAAATTTTGTGTAGTTACTAAACGCTATTTTTTGGTCAGAAACTGTTCCAAGAAATAGAAATAGAAAAAACTATTTCTGATAAAAAATTGTTTCTGGAAACAGAAACGTTGCTATGCAGACCCTTATCCTCGTCTTCTTTTGTACTCTCTCTCCGCGTTAGCTTCTCTTTGAATAAAGAAGAGGAAGCTAGTGAGCAAGGGGGAGAGAGGCCACAACGTGAGGCCAAAGGTGGAGACAGAGAAAAGCTCTAATCAGAAGGAGGTGAGAGCTGTAGCTCGCTTGGGAAGTGAGAGCAAGAAGGTGCTCTCTTGAAGATCCCTGTGTTTGTGCATATATTTACATCCATTTTGAATGTTTTCGTGAGGTTAAACACCATGGGTTTCGGGTATAATTATAGGGCTGGAAAACACTTGACCGCAAGTGATTGTGTGAACTCTGTAATACTCCTCCGATTTAATAATGGATTATTTGTTGGCTCTCTCCGTGGACGTAGATTTCGATACTCACGTAAACTTCTCATGTGATTTTCTTCTTCCACTCTGTTCCACGTCCTAATTCCGTCGCTCTCGTTTACGCTTCCGCGCACAACATTCTTTATTTTGGCAAATATATGCCTTGGAAAGATCACCATTAATCGTTAAGAAGCTGGAATCAAGATGATTAACCGAGGATGTACATGAAGTAGTCAGTATAAAAAATCAGAACTGTACCAATGTCGAACTTCTCCCATAATCTTTGTCGATTCTAATAGGGTATTCGCAAAATAGACTAAATAGCTCATTAACCTCAAAATGGAAGACATGGAAGGAAGTTATTGCATCCGTAGGAAATCAGGGGTTGGAACAAAAGAGCAAATCAGGTTTGGATCCAAGAAAGAGTAAAGCTACCAATAGACATTATCAAGAAGCGATTAGTCTTAGCAGCTTTTTACACAAATGGCTTAACACGTTCCCTCTTCTCCAAGATATATTCAGACAATATGTTCGACATGAACCTGGGTTCAAATATCAGCAACATCTCTCCATCACTCTCCAGCTATAACCTGCAAGTAGAATATCGAAAGGAAACTTAATTTATAGTTTCTAATTTCCAAACTTCCATTTTGGTGACCAGCAGAATAATATACTACTATTGGTACTAACACAATAAACTTGAGCACGACTGGACTTTGTATAAGCAATGAAACCTAAATGCAATAAACTAACCAAGTCAATCCTTTGCTAAGACATAACGAAGTCCACTCATTTGCAAGAAAAAAAGAAAATGATCTCATGGTAGAGACTTTTGTTTGACCTGAAAAGAAAATGACAAACTGGAGTACTCACTCTAAAAATTTCAATTGCCTGCAGAATTTTACCACTTGATTTGTAGAGAACAGAAATTCTTTAGTTTGCCACTTCATCGTGGACCAGATAGAACTGACGGTAATAAAGCAGTGGAAGCACTGTATTTGGCTTCCATTTGACCGAATTTTGCTGCTCCATTAGTGGAAGGCTGAGCAGAGAAGTTGTAATCCAGGTTGTCTTGAACATCCGAAACACCCTCTAACACCTTAATGACTATTGACATGGAAGGCCTCTTAGTATAATCTCCCTGCAAGCACCATGCAGCAAGCCTCATCGTGTTCACCGCCTGCAGGCCATTTAGTTGCATATCCTCGCTATAGTTATCCACAATGTCCAGCAATCGTTCCTCTTCAGCCTTTCTCTTAAAAAGGCTCAGTAAATGCATGTCGTCTTCATCTAAAGAGCGATCGAAGATTTTTCTCCCACAGACTATCTCCAAGATTACCACTCCAAAGCTGTACACGTCCACCTTTTCAGTAATTGCTGCACTAAGCCACTCAGGGGCCAAATAACCAGGAGTTCCTCTCATGGTTGTGACAACTTGGCTTTGGTCCCTATCAATCAACTTGGACAATCCAAAATCAGCAACCTTAGCATTAAAATTCCTGTCCAAGAGGATATTTTGGGGTTTAATGTCTAAGTGAACTATCTTTTGTCTGCAATCTTCATGAAGATAATTTAGTCCTTTTGCTATATCGAAAATGATCTTTTTCCTTTGTTGCCAATCAAGAACACATTCATTGGATTTGTGAAAGATCCATCTATCTAGAGACCCATTCGACATGTACTCATAGATAAGGAGCCTATGGAATTTCTCAGCACAAAATCCCATGAGTCTTACCAAGTTAACATGATGGATGCTACCGATAGTCTCAACTTCGGCTAGAAAGGATTTCTTGACCTGCCCAAAACCATCAAGGCGCTTTACAGCAACTTTTGTGCCGTCAATTAGAGTACCCTCGAAAACAGAACCAAAACCACCTCCGCCAAGCTTTTTACTAAAGTTGTCTGTAATGGCTTTCAGGTCATCGTATGAGAATCTTGTGGGCATTCCAGGTACCTGATCAAGGTAATCCTCCTCTGCTTCATTATCATCTCTCTTCCGAACAAACAAAACTATGACTACGATGAAAAATATCACAGCAAAGAGAACTCCGAGGCTGGACCCAAGTATTACTGGGAGACGGTTGCTCCTTCGTTTGTCAACGGAAATATTGGGAGCTTCAATTTGTACTTTAAGGTAAGCAGTGGAGTTATAGAAAATTTTATTCTTGTCAATGTTCATGAGTGAAAACACCTGAGTTGGTAAGTAACAACTGCCGCTGCTGGAATTCGATCCATACTGGAATATAGCCGCTTTGCATGAGCAGTTCTTTGCACAGGTCTCTTTACAACTTAAAGCATCTATGTTCTCAAGATCTGAAGGGAAAGTAAAGTACATAACATCTTCAAGCTCCAGAAGACTTTGATATTGAGAAGCCCCACAAGACAATGGGACATTCTCAGAACACCCAAGATTAGGCTGCCTATCATCTACTAGCTTGAAATAGCTCGTTCCCCCACTTGAAGCCGGACAACTACACTGCCCATTGGAGCAAATTCCATATTGCCCGCACACTGTCGGATAAGCACAGTCCCCAAGAAACCCCGTCAAAAGATCGGCCACTTCTTTCCACTGAGATACCCACTCATACACTCTCAGATGCCCATCCGAGCCCAGCTTCATATATTGTGCAGAAGATGCTCGAGGGACTAAAATCACACTCACATTCGTGGTAGAATTTGAGAACAAAGTCAAGCTTCCATTTACAAACTCAACATATGGATACTCATTACTTGCCTGCAGATTAGCAATTTCATATTCGTAATAGATCTGAGGAGGACTAGTCTCCATTTGAGCAGATAAACCAGTGCTATTCATGGAAAGCGTAATCATATTGTTTACGGTCCAATTTGTCTCGGAAACACTCGGCATCAATCTTTGCCCCGCCATCAACTTTTGTCCAGGGACAAGTGAGTCGGTTGGCTGATCAAAAGACCGCCAAATAGTCACGTTATTCTTATCAAACAACTCAAGGTTCCTCAAATCTGTCAAGTTCAAGCCTACAACGGACTTGCCAGAAGTGTTTGTGGACCAAGCAACAGTACCGTCAGCATCTTTCAAAACCAAATCGCCTTCGGAAGTGAGCTCTAATGTCGCACCGATCTTTACAGGATTGTTTCGATTGGCAGACCACACTACTTGTGCAAATCCAATACTCGGTTGAACAATTAAAGCAGCACTATTAATTTGGACGATGAAAACGGCAAGTAGGTAAGTGTTGCAGTTACCATTACAGTAGAAGCCGCAGGCGTAGGCAGGGCCATAACCATTTGCAGCTCGGAGTAGAATCGACCGCACGATCGATCCATCTGTATATTGAACGGAGTGATTAGCTGTTGCGTTATTCGTCCACTGTGTTGAGAGCGTGGCAGTTGGATAATCGTAATTTTGAGGTTGAGCATCAATAAAGTTTTTGAATTGCGATAGAAAAACAAAGGAAAGAGAAAGAAAAAAAGAACAGAGGCTGCAGAACGAGACCATGGCCTGCAGTGAAAATTTGAGCAGAAAGAAGATTGATAATGGAAGAGAGGAGGGGAGAAATGAGAGATTGATGTGGAGGGCTGTAGGTCTCTAGAAACAGTCGCGTTTGGCGATTTGGGAACAAATAAAATAATGAAGTCAAATTTGGAGGAACTGGGGTGGTGGGTTTCATAAATGCGAGTGGAGTCCATTGATTAATTGCCGCATGCCCCACTCTTCAAAAATTTCAAATTTCTTTACCTTTTTCTTTCTTTTCTTCTCCCGTTCCTCTCCCTCTTCTCGCTTTCCTTTTCTTCTCATTCCTTCTTCAACTGGCGGAACCTGTAGACTTGTCGTCACTCTAGCAAAGAGTGCTCAAAGGATGCCGTAACAGCAACAGATGTTGAAGACCCAAAAGCCAGCAGGAACGTTCTTTGTCTGGAGGCGTTGCAAGGGGGTTGATGCTTCTGAAGGCTCTGACCAAAACCCAGTACGGGTTTGATGGGGGAAGTCGTGTTATTACAATCAAAATCAGAACTTTCTTTGTCTGGAGGAGTTGTGGAAGAAACTGAAACAGAAGAGATTCTAGGTTTCGTGTAATTAGGAAAGTCAAAGAATGAGTGGTTCCTCGGACCGATTGGCTTTCGGACAGTGCTTACGACATCGAAGGTGAAGGAAGCAAACGATGGTCTAAATAGGGCACTAACAGTTTCCATATCGCGCGGCGGCAAGGGCGATCGCTCGAGGCGGGATCGCTCGAGCAGAGGCGGAAAGTGATTGTTTGAAGGAAGGAAGGAAAAGAAAAAGAAAGTGAGCAGGAAGAGAGAGAAACGGGAAAATAAAAGAAAACAGAAAAGAAACTTTAAATTGCTGAAGAGTGGGACCCACTGTGTCCACGTGGCAATTTATCAATCCCGGTTTATATTACGGTTAATCGGTTTCCGGTCTGGTCCGGTCCTACCCAAAAATCGGGAACCGGATCAGGAGGACCGGTTTCCAATTTCTAGAACCGGTCACTTGGTAATGAGCACTAGCTCGCAGAATCAATCAAAGTCTCTAATTTACGCAAATCTCCATCCGCAAACCCCGTCATTGCTCTCGGACAGCAAAGAAGGCAATGCGAAGATTAAGAGAGACATAAAAGGACGGAACCAAAATGAGGCAAACCAGAAGCCAAAACACCAATTTACATCTTAGCGACGAAAATGAATCATTCACATCTCCAAAACGAGCGATCGAAATCTAAGAAAAACAGAGACAATAGAAAGTCGAGTTAGAAAAACTTGAAAGGGCCTTTTGAGATTGAGAGTCGAGCGAGAGCCGAAAGGGATGTTTGAGAGTTGAGTGAGAGCCAAGTCGCAGAAAGAGTGAAGAAGCAAGAGGGAAAGAGCGAAGAGCATCGACGTCGAGCAAGGCATGAGGTGAGAGGGAAGGGAAAGACAATATTAGATTAGGGTTTTAAATTAAAAAAATTAAATATATATAATTTATCCGGTTCTCGGTCTGATTTCCAGCTTGAAATCGGGAACCGGACTGACCGGACACCGGTTTTAAAAATACGAAGCAAGAACCAGATCAGCACCCCCTAAAATCGCCCATAACTAGATGCTTCGGTCCGGTTCCGGCAGTTGACCGATTGATTTTGCTCACCCCTGATCTATACAAGTCTCCACACGTGAACCCGAACCGAACCAAGAAGATTATACATGGCAGGCTTCTGTATTATTTAGGCCCTTCGCTATTTAACTAAGAATATTATATTGAGTGGAGACAAAAATAAAAATTAATAAATAATAACAGAAACAATTAAAAATGCCATGCACCATAATCATAGTCTTAAAATCAGAATGACCATTTTGACAAAAAAAAATCAGAATGACCATAGGCCTTACAGATCTTTTGAATGCAGTGCATAAGCCACCCAGAACCGGTCATCAACTACATTTGTCTTAACGTGGGAGTGATAATCTTTTGACTCACATTAGATTAAATTAATAAAGTAGCTACCAATCGATTACTTATTCAATTTGAACACGCCAAGCATATCAATTCAGTTTAACATAGGACGAAGTGGGAAACTATATTTCTACTTGCCGGAAACTATTAAAAAACAAATGCTCACTACCTAACGAAGAGATTATGCTCGGAGATGTCAAAATTGATTTGGAGAAAAGAGTCCGAGAGAAAGAGACGATTCCTCCAAGTCAAGTACTATGTTGATTGAAAGATCACATAGTTGAATCTTGAATGCCCCAATCATCTCGGTTCCTTACATATGCCTCAGAAAGATCACGGTGGATTGTTAAGAAGCTGGAAATCAAGATGAGTAACTTGTATGACATTCTGAAATCCGACCCACTTGAGATTTATGAAATGGATAGTTTATGGACATGCTTGTAATTAGATCTCGCCCGGAATTGATCACTTCGGGAATACTAACCGTTAGGGAAAGGCTAATTAGGGATTTAAATTCGCGCGACCAAAAAACTCGATCGTGAACCGACTTTCGACCATGAAAATTGTTGGGGTGACATTTTGAGCCAATGTAGGCCGATCCAAGGATAGCTAGGGATCAGTTCGCCATTGTCATACGAGTGGATCGCAGGTAATTCCGCTTGACCACGAAATGAACTGACGAATGACCCTAAATCTATACCAAACGATGGTGCTCGTCGGATCTAGCGATCGATTCTCGCGATTAAGTGACCACCGAGGTCGTCACGACCCGAGTAAACTTGAACGTGGCTTGATTTAGTATCGGCCACGGGTCAACAATGCGAATTTCCTCAAAAATCACCCGTTAGTATGAGATATGCGCAAGTTACGTTATTTAGAACTTAGTCATTAATTAGAGACCAAGTTGGGCATTGGAAATTTAGAAAGTCACGACAGATCATTTGAACGATGTTGTCATTTGCTCGAGTAGCCTCGGATTTGCCCAAATCCCTAAGAAAAATTGAATTTCGGCGAGAAATGGAAAATGACCATTTTACCCCTAGAAGTTTGTTAAGGCCAATGTAATTGGGGAAGGGCATTTTGGTCATTTCGCCCTAGCCTTAGAAATAGAAATTTTTGGACAATTTTGCCCTTGGACTTTTTGTGAAATTCCCAAATTGCCCTTGGATATTTTGGAAAAGATTCGATCCGGACCATTGATCTCAAGATAAGATCGAATCTAGACCGTTGATTTGAATTGTGAGAGAGGGGCATGATGGTCAATTGGCACACCAATAATTGACCTTAGATTATTTAAGTCCCAAACTCTTTCTCTCTCTCCTCACTCTCTCCCTCACTCTCGGCAAACCCCCCCCTCACCTACCGACCGCCTCCTCCCCCTTGGCCGTACCGCCGCCGTGCCGGCCACCGTCCGCCGTCGCTGCCCACCCGGTCACCAAGTCGTGTCCTCGCCACTTTCTCGTCGCCGTCTCTCTCTCCTTTCCGTGGCCATGAGCAGCCGGCCGAGCAAGCCAGCCGTCCACCGCCTAGCCGTAGCAGCCGCTCGTTGAAGCTGCCGCTCGCCCCCACCGCCGCTCATCTCACCAACCCTCTCTCTCTCTCTCTCTCCTGTTTTATCCTCACCGAGCACCACCACTAGCCCCCCCTGCGATCCTGTTCAGCCGTGGGAAGCCAGCAAACCGCCAACCACTGCCGCTCGCCGTCGCCGCCTAGCCGCTCACCGTCGTCACTCGCCGCCGTGAGGCCACCGGCCTGCCGCCCCAATTCCACTCTAGCCGAGCTAGCCTAGAGTTCGTGTAAGTCGCCCCCTAAACCCTATTTAGGATGTCGGGTATCGGTAGACTTGATTAGGGGCTGATCGGACTTAATTAGGGGCTGTTTTGGGGTTTAATTGGGACTGTTTAGGGCTGTTCGGTTTGGATTAATTAGGGGCTGATGTTGGCTGACTTTAGGGGTGAAATGGTGATGGTTTGGGACTGAATTGAGGTGGAATTAGGTGCTGGAAATTGGGACTCGTAGTGACGAGCATATGGTTCGGTTTAAGGGCAAATGGTGTCGGTTTGGTGCGTTGAATAGTGGCTGAATTGTGATGCTAGTTGTGACTTAAAATGAGTTCAGAAATGCCGAATTTATGCTCACCATATTGGCTGCGATAGTGGGCCCGTTAGTGGCCTTGTATGTTTGTTGAATCGTGAGCTAAGTGATTTAAATGTGGGCTATTGTGTGCGCGCATGGGCTGAATTGATTTAATTGGTAATCGGCCATGATTGAATGTTGATTGAGCATGAGAAATGTGTGTGGTTTGGTGCGTGCACGGGCCAAAGGTGATTGGCTAATATATTGGCATGTTGGTGTCGAGCAAGCGAACGTGTGAGAAATCGTGTGTGATGTTGTATGTGTGATTACGGAAATCCCTGAGGCGGTACCATTACGCGGGCCACGAAGTGTTGTTATTGTGAGTTAGTCGCAGTGAACATGAGGCGGTACTACTACGCGGGTCACTGGCGAGTCGAGTGGAAAATGCGAGATGGTCGCAGTAAACCTAAGGCGGTACCATTACGCGGGTCACTGGCGAGTCGAATGAAAAGAATGCGATGAAGCAGGAACGAGTGCGTAAAATATAATTAGAATGTGCATGTAGATGAAAATTGTGCTATTGTGGCTAACGTGCAGGTTGCACGCAGGAAAGGCCCTGGTAAGTATAAATTGTGTGCCTGCTACGTGATGGCTGAATGTGGTTGTGTTTGTGATTGTCTGGAGGTACGTGATAGCCTAGGTGGGGGTTTAGGGTGTGTACTTATTAAGATGTAATCTCATGGTTGTTTCAACCAACAATTTCAGAACCTCGACCTGAGCCATGAATCTTCCGCCACCGCCGCCGCAGCGTTTTGGGATTCCTATGCACACCGATCATGATGTTGTGGAGTATTCAATAGACGACGATAGGACCTGGATTAAACATACCACCGTAGTTTGGGTAGATGTAGGACTACCTCTCTGGCAGGCCCATACTTACGTTGCCTGGATCTTTAGAGACGGGATAGATGAGTTTGGCCCGTCCGAGGCTTTGATGTCCCTTTTGATGGAGTGGGGGATTGGGATCCGACCGCCGTACCCCCTTCCGGATGGTGAGATGACTAGTTTGGAGACTAGTCTGGCGCAATCTGCATATCAGGCCGCTCCTGCAGCACCCGAGCCTCCCCTGGCCGAGCCTGATCCGGAGCC